TTTGTTGTCGTCGTGGTCCGATTGAGTGTTTTTGGGAGGCTTTGTGGGAGTGGTCGATACAGGCTATTCGCACAGGCTTTTCGCAGGCTTTGAGCGCCACTTCCCCGCTACAACTACTTTACTACTTTACCCTGGCGGCGCCCCCCCGCCCTGCGCGGCACAGAAATACCACGACTCCATCAGGATTTAGATCATGTGTGGCCTCGAGTGATGCAGTACGGCCGTCGACTACTCCGTTCCCGACGGCCTGGTAGTTTCCGAGCGGGGATTGTAAAGATGCCCACCTCCCGTCCAATGAGATGCATCGAAAAGCAAATTTGGACATTATAGCTGGCTGTTTTGCATGGCTGGGAAGTCTCGATTTCATGGATTTGAAAGGCGGGGGGGTGATTTCGAGACTTCGGCCTGGACCCCACTGGCCGGCGCCTGGAAAAAGTGGCCGGCCGCGAATTTCTGGCCAACTCGGGTGGAAAGCTTTTGGCACGATTCAGGGAGACTCCACCGCCAACTGGTGGCGGTGTTTTGGAAACGGGCCGGCTTGCCGATTTAGGAAAACCGTGGAAGGTCCCCTCCCAAAAAGGAAAGTAGGAATTCCGCGGACGAACCTGCGGACACGGCAGGGTCTCGGGTGGGGAATTGGTGTGTGGCATCACACACCGTTTGCGGCACTGCGGGACCGACCTCCGTGTGGTCCCAGTGCGACGTCCCAGCAGGAGAGGGAACGGGAAGAACGACGACACTATTTTTTTCAGCTTGGCGTTGGGCCCGTTAGCACATTTGCGAAAAACGGGAGGTCGAAGAGGGCAGATCGTCGTTGACGTCCAGCCATCGTGTGGTTGTGTCTTATGCCCGCGTAGCGAGCCGTTCGTGACCTGCCTTCACTCACGGGTTGTCGATCTGTGGGGGAGAGCTCCGGGACGGAGGGACAGTGGGTGGCCATAGCCGATCGTGACTTTCTGCTGTGACGATTTCCATGGATGCTTCGGCAGGCGGGTTGTATGGCGAAGAGTGCGAGGATACGATGTTGATGGTGGCGTTTTTATCATCCACTGGATGAATAAACGCAATGCAGCCGCCATGGCGGTCGTCGAGGCTGTTTCGGTGATGCCATTCCTGTCCCAAAACGTCTCCGCTGCGGTTGCACTACTCGCGGGGGGGATGTTGCATGGTTTTGCTCTGGGGGCTTTGGCGGCTGAGGAGGTGGGAAGGAGATTGGACCGTCGACGCCGTTTGTGGGTGGTGGAGCGTAGTGGCGGTGTGTGGAAAGACCTCCAGCGAGTGGGGGATGAGCACGATAAGGTGTTCACGCGGTTTTGCAGACTTCCACGCCCTCTCTTCTTGGAAGTTCAGGGTCGTATCAGCCCGCATATCCAACGTTCGGCCACAAATTTCAGATTGCCGATACCTGCCGGTCAGAAGTTCGCGTGCGCGCTGATCAGGTGGGCAACCGGCGGTTATTACAGGCAGTCCTCCCATGGATTGGGCATGGGCCTGGCGAGTGCTTTGCGCAGCAATGTGGAAGTAGCTGACGCCATCATCGCGGAGTACGGACATCTTCTGCGATTCCCGACAGGACAACAACTGGAGGACGTACTTCACGGGTTCGAGAGGAAAGGCTTCCCCGGGTGTGTAGGCGCAATAGATTGCACTCATTTGTACATCGAGAAGCCGAAGGGAGTGCGATCAGAGTGCTTTTACCACCATACTGGGGGCTTTTCTGTTGTGGCGCAGGTCGTGTGCGACCACGAGTGTCGGATCGTCAGTGTTTATGTCGGTTGTCCGGGCTCTGTGCACGATTCCAGAGCTCTACGTACGTCGCCACTGTTCGAGAATGCCACGGCGGGCAGAGGAGTGTTGGGTGAGGGAGGTGCGATACTGCACGACGACAGACACATTGGGCGGTATTTGATAGGTGATCAAAGGTACCCACTCCTCCCGTGGCTGATGACACCATTCGACCGCTTTGCTAAAACAGCGGCGGATCGGGCGTTCGATGAGAGTCACAGTGCAGCAAGGTCGTGCATCGAGCGGACATTCGGGCTTCTGAAAGTCGTGTGGAGGAACTTCATCCGACGACACATTTGCAACCTGGCGACCATCACGAAGGAGTTCATGGCCGTGTGTATTCTACACAACCTTATGATAAAGCGCAACGTCCAGATAAACCCGGCGTTGATGGGAGATAGCAGCGACAGCGAGGGGGGGGATGGTGGTAACGGCAACCGTTGCCGACGACGGCGCCGTCGTGGATTCCACCGCCATCTTCCAAACTTGAACATTGAGGTCGTCCCTTATGACGACCCCACCTATGGCGGTGACCTTGCAAAGCACGTTAGGGAGAGTTTGGTTGAACACGTGCGTCACCACGTTGCAGTCCACGGCGCGCCGCCACCATGGCCGTGGCGGTAGTGCGGTCGTGTTCGAATCGAAACGTTGTGTGAGAGTAGGCGGTGATAGTGGGCAGCGCTTTGAAATGCGAAGGGTTTGCGAAGGGAGATCATGGGCAGTAGAAGAGTGGATGGGGCCCATGGGGGTGTACGTGATGTGAGCCTCTTGCGGGCATGGCGCCTTTTTTATTCCCGGGAGACGTTCGTTTCAAGTGTTATAAAAATGACCCGCATACATTTCTGTTCCCTGAAGTTCTTCGATGTGAATGTTTTTTTTTTTTTTTTTGTTCTTCTCTCATTGAAATTCCCTTGTTCTCCTTGTTCGTGAATCCTATCGCCCTACCCTATCTAACCCCACATTTTTCAATTGCAAAACGATGTTGTTCAATTGCAAAATGAAATGAATCAATTGCAAGACACTGTTATTCGATTGAAAAACAATTTTGTTCAAATAAAAAACAATGTTATGCAACAACGATCACACCTTCTTCGCTGCCAAAAGCATCGTCACGGACATGCGACACAACACAGACTCGTTTAGTCGTTTGGGATGGCGAAAAAAAAGGAAATTAATGGCAATAACCGCTGTAATATAGAATTGCAATTTGTGTACTCATCCATGCATAACGTTCCCACACAAAACATTCGCAGACATTCCCATGTGAGCACACAAAAACAGAACACGAAGCACCTGATAGATGTCAGAGCATTGATAGCGAGAAAACAGAAATGCTCATCCTCGCGTTTTTTCACAGACGTGACGCGAACAATTTGAAATGAAGCCCACTAAAGTGGATGGCGTCCGCGCGGGCATTGATTGCTTCCTGTACCGGAAGGATTGACCCGTATGGACGGCATCATCATCCTCATGATCATCAACATCATCATCGTCATCGTCATCGTCATCATCATCGTCATCATCATCATCATCGTCATCATCATCGTCATCATCATCATCATCATCATCATCCTCATCATCATCCTCATCGTCATCCTCATCGTCATCGTCATCATCATCGTCACCTCTGTCACCATCAACTGTCTCCTGATGACAATCATCATCGCCGCAATCGTCGTCATCGTCGTCATCATCATCATCATCATCATCATCATCATCATCATCATCATCATCATCATCATCTCTCTCTGTCTCTCTCTCTCTCTCTCTCTCTCTCTCTCTCT